TGTGTGTGTGTGTGTGTGTGTGTGTGTGTGTGTGTTTATAGCCCGTGCTAGACGTTTACAAATAACTTTTGCACGCTATAGCTGTGACACGGCACGTTTTTTTTTACTGCTGGTGGTATGCTCAGGATTTATGGCCACAAGTAGGCCTATCTGATGTCCTGTGGACCATGTTACCTTTTAGTAGAGTGGGAAGGGTGGGCTGGGGGTGGGCTGGGGGTGGGAGTGGTGGGTCCATAGAGATAAGAACACGACATACTTGGACTGCGAACAGATTTCCAAGATAAATGACATATAATATGTATCCTTAGAAAACACGTCATCCCCGTGGAAAGAATTGCTATGTTTAAATATCTTTATCAACACAGCAAGGCGATTTCTTATGAAGTACCTACTAGTGTGGCGTGCTTCATTATTGGACAGAGTCAAGTGGGCAGTAAGAACTCCACAATCATCTCAAGTACAAGAATGCTCTTTGCTGGAGACTCGACCCAGGTTTACCTACACTGCAACCTGGCAAGACTCTCAATAGAAAAATAAAATAAATGTAGGTGTGTTACGTACCCATCCACACAATTTAGATCATTTAGGAGGCAGTCTTTCGAACCTCCCTGTTTAGATCAACCCGGGCTGAAAGGGATACAGCACCCCACTAGGAAAATCGAGTCACTGGTTAAAAAATGTCTTCTTTGTCTAAATTAAAGCCTTTCGCAAGGATGCCGTCAGGTGAGCTATTTTTGTCACGACTGCATAACGGGGCATGCTTACATGTCATTTTCGTTCTACCCACTGTTGTCTTTTTACCCAAATAACCCTTATGGTTAATTAGGCCATTTTGAAAATGCCTTCTGTCTGAAAAAGGAAGTATAAGGATTTAACGTCCCTGATTAAGTTATGTAAGAGTCAGGACGTCCGAATTTAACCCCCGTCTCCAATAAGACTGCTTTCAGTGTGTGAGACAGCGATGGCCAAAATTTAGTTCTCTGTAGCCTCACTCAAAGGTTTTCATAGCGCGTGTTTACACAGCAGGGTTGTCGAAAAAAGCCATACAGTCGGTTATTCTGCCTTTTGAATGCAAACCAAGTATATGTGAATCTGGGTACAATCAACATTTGAAAAAAAGGTTTTTATTAAAAATGTCTGTCTTAGCTCTGAACTGATGTTTCTCTATGTTCAATGAATTATACAAACACTGCTTTTTAGTTTAGTTTTAATAAGCGTTTTCGCCACTTAAAACAAAGTTAGGTCACATCGGAGACAAAATCACCTCCGGTCATCGGACATATTTATAGAAGTGCCGAATATCGGAAGTTTTACGAGAGCGTGACAAACAAAAATGAAGGAGGGGAGATAAGGACGATAGATGTTTGTTAGGAAAGAAAGAGCAAACCACACCAGAGCACCCGCCTACCACCCATTAAACAGACCTACTGTTTATGGTATCGATTTTACCAGTAGTTGCTTTTTCCCATTTTGTGACATTTGATTTTGTCAGATACGAGGTTTTCAATTCAAACGGCAGTGTTATAGCTGACCGAGGCAAGTGGAGCGTTCCTCCTCCCAAGACCTCTCCAGATTCCTCAAAGTCCGGTCACTTGTGACGGTCGTTCCCGCCTTCGACGCCTTGAAGGTCAAGACCTTTATAAGATTTTGTCAGATGTGCACGCGAGGTGGGGTTTTGGTCTCAGTGGTAGGGACATGGTTTGTGAATTTGAAAGGGTGCGACCGAGGAGTAATAAATGGTTTCTATTTAACGTGTTTTATTTTCATTCAACTCAGTTTTGTTCCGCCTCGAGGTCAACGAAGGGACTATAGTAATAACGACTGGCTTCGAGATGACAGTGCCATGGAGCGTCAACAAATGTAGAACCCACTAATAGTACTGTCTTATAAGCTGTCTAAGATCGTACGTTAAATTTCACGTTAATATCGGACAAATATGAATAAACGACACATAATGAAGAGAGAGAGAGAGAGAGAGAGAGAGAAGGCGGTCCTTTGTACTTTACGTAGTGCTGCGAATCCTTATGACAAGAGAAAATTTCGCTAGTAGAAAGGGACAGAAGGACAGGCATTCTACGGAAGATACAATTTCCTAACGACCTTCTATGGATGACCTTCCGTTGATAATAATAACATCTATCTAATGTCACTCTCCTTGTTACGTAA